ATATTAGAGAGACAAGGTGGTTGAAGTAGAAGAAGAGCTCTGTGTGGCTCGAAAGCTTGTTTCTTTCTCCAACAGAAACTGGCCCAGTATAAGATATTTCCTCACCCACCCTGTCTCTCTAATATCCTGGGACCAACACGGCTACAACTACGCTGCATGCATTGCTCCTTGTCTGTCCTACACAACATGAAAATCGGTAGCACAGATTAAACTTTATAAATGCATCTCTCCTTCAGCTTGCAAGATCTGTAAAACAGGCATCATGACAACTACCTCCGGGCAGCTCGGGGGTTAGTTAATCTGAAGCCATCTGAAACTCTCAGATGAATGGTGTTATACAACGTAAATTTAAAGGATTATTATTAACGGCACCCGATATCTGATTTACTGGAAATTCAGGCACTCATGCCACTGAAATGTCATTTGTACCACTATGATAAGGGTGCTGCTTTATTTCCATTATAAACCATCCACTCTTTTTTTTTTTTAAACTCAGCAGTAAAAATTTACAACATTTATTTGGAAAGATAAGGAGCAAAATTTAGCTGACAAAGCATTGGAGTGGGAGTCAGCGGGAATGTCACATCGTGTGCAGCTTCATGTCCACGTCCCATCCCCACAACTTCATTTTGATATTAGGGTTCATCAGAGAACAGCAATATTCTATGCTTTGTGCTCTAATATACTCACTGTATACTTCTGTGATCAGTTACCTTATACACAAACCGCAGCCGCTATATACTACAAAGCCTATCACCCTTGTAACTTCATTAAAGAACCTACTATCTAGGATAACTAGTTAGGGAGACTGTGTTGCCTAGAAACCATGTTGCCTAGAAATCAGAACAAGCCCACTGTGAGAGTCAGAAACTCCTGGCTTCTATTCCTGGCACCTCATTTATTCACTGTTTTAGCACAGATAAGTCAATAAATAAATCACATACTTAGTGCTTAAAAAGCATTTTTCCATCCTCACGGTGCTTTACCATTATTAATTAACCCGTACAACACCTCTCTCATATTGGGGCATATTATCCCCATTTTACAGATGGGGAAACAATAAGTGATTTGCCCGGCCAAGTTAATGAAAGAGCTGGGATTAGAACCCAGGCTCCTGGCTCCCAATTTTATCCCCTATCCATTAGACTGTGCTGTGTTCCCTGTGACTCAGTTTACTCATCTGATAAATGGGGAGGATTTTACTTACTTTCATCCTACGGGTGTTGTGAGGCTTCACTGATGCTCACAAAGAGTTTTGAGGTTCTTAGATGAAAGGCACTAAATAAGTGCAAAGTATTATTTATTTTCTTGGATCTATGAAGCCATGATAACCACCAAAGGCAGTAAAAATATTTTATTTATGCACTACAGTACTTCCCAGGCTGGCAGTAAAAGCACTGTAACAATCACTCTTTATATTTCCATAACAATCCATCTTCTCCTCTGAGTTACAGTCTCTGCCTCAGAGCTAATGAATCACCACATGAGAGAGGCCACCAGAAAGTGGCATGCATCTGGGGAGGAGGGAGTATGTCTGAGCATGTAGCAGTTCTTTGTTACACTGGCAAAACAACAGGACACACCTACCACACTTTCGAAAGTTCCCTCTCTCCCAACACCTCAGTAAAAGTTATTAGAGTTCACTTTAGTAGCCATTACAATAGCGACAACACCACTTCCAGATCCTCGTGGGAGACGGTACAGAAGTGCAAAGGTCTTTATGAACATTAATGAAGTTAGCCTCACAACCTGCCTGTGAGCGAGGCAAGCATCATAGCTTCAGACATTTTAAGGCCAGAAGGAAGTGTTATGATAATCAAGTCTGAGCGCTTGCATAATACAGTCCAGAGAATTTCATCAAGTGGTTCCTGCATGAAGCCTATAACTTTTGGTTGAGCTAGAGTACATCTTTTAGAAAGACATCCTATCCTGATCTGAAGACTTCATATGATGAAGAATCTATCACAGCTGTAGGTAAATTGTTCCAAATGTTTACACTTTGTTTAAGTTTGCCTAGCTTCAATTTCCAGCCTTTGGACCATGTTAAGTGTCCGTCTGCTAGATTAAAGAGTCCTCTGCTACCTGAAATCTACTCCCTATGTAGGTATAGCTCATGTGCAAGTCATTTCTGAACCTTCTCCTTCACCATTTTACATATGGGGAAAGTGATGCACAGAGAGATTGCAGGACTCAGCCCAGGTGCCACAACATTCGTGGAAGAGCCAGGACTAGAAACAGTTTTCCCAACTCTCTATTATGTATTTAACCACAAGACCTTCTCTCTGCTCTTGAAATCCATATCAAGATTCCCTTAATACACACGTTACAGTCTCTGCTACAACATATAAGTAGTGACAATGTGTGTTATTGAAACCCAAGAGGAGATGACACTGTATTCGTTTTCAAGCCGATTAATCTTGGAGCGTCCAATGGGCTACTGTGTAGTTCAGCAAAGTACAACAACATGGTGTTCTGCAGTAACTTGCTGTAAGGCCATTCATCTGGCATCATAAATACTGTTCCGTTTATACTTGCTGGATCTTGTCTCACAATTCTACATAGCACACCACTGATTAAGGAAAAGATACTAGAGTACTCAGCTACTTTGCTGAAGAACTCTGTAGTAATGCAGTGCAGGAAAGTTTGAGGCCATTACACTATGGCATTTTTTAAAACTAAAGTTAATGCATGCAAACAGTTAATAGTCCTCTCTGGCAAGCACAAGGACCCATAAACCAATTTCTGCAGGGTTTAAGTTTTCATTAAATATCTAGAACTCCAGCCATTCCAAATGTAAACTCAGCATAAACTGATGCATTGCTGCATGTCTCCCTCCTCACACAGGAGCTCTGCTGTTGCTCAAAACTTTGCCAAGCAGCAGCAGAGCAAACTTAACAAAACTCTGATTATCAGCATGGCATGTGGAAGACAGAATGATTACATCTGAGGGAATTTTCTACTCAGATGAGGCCTGCAGGGGGAGCTGGATGTGTCTGGACAGGAGAAAATTCTATGTCCCTATCATGAAGTTAGGAATCTCCCTTTTCCATGGGGCACAGGTCCCTTTTTCTAAACCCAGTCATGAGACTTCTATGTTTTCTTGGGGAGTGGGAGAGAGGAAGCCACCGGCCCTTGATTGTACATATTTTGGGGTTCTAGCAGGGCTAATTTTGGGGAAAGGAAGTCTACAATGGGGAGGAAGGGCATTGTAGCAGGCTAATTTTAAAAAAATGGCTGAAGCTGCTCAGAGAACTGGAATGTTAGAGTAATTCTTGGACAGATGGTTTAGAGAGCACTCAAAAGGTTCATAATAAAATAATGTATTACATGGTTCCACTATGTATCTGACAGATATCCCCATTACGTGTGGCACAGTTATATTTTTACACACACACGCGTGTGCACACACTTGTTTTTAAGGTGACTTTTCTGAGGACAATCTGGATCTCAAGTGTGGTTTTCCAATCAGAAAATATGATTTTTCGGTAACCACACCTAATTAGCAGGTGCACTCTTCCCATTCAGTATGAAGGTGACTGACTGAGATGTAGCCAAAGGGGCAAGTTTAGCTAACCAGTGGACTGGACAGGCAAATACTCAGCATTTTCTGCTACAAGAAAATTGGGATAGGAGGAGGCCATTTTAGTTTATGGCCTCCAGGCGAACACATCAATGAGTCAGTGCCTTCTCTGGTGGGCAGTAAGCATCACACCCTGGTCCCCACAACAGTCTCAAGCAAAGGAGTTGGTTCATTTCCTCTCCGGGCAAGCGGTAAAATTATCTTCTCCTTTCAGGCCACAGAGCAGCTGTGGTTTGAAATTAACAAACAACCACTACTGCTGTTGGACAATGTGATTTTTCACAG